CATTTGTGTTAATATCAATATTATTATATTAATCCACACTAGAGGATATTTGAGGGTAAACGTGACAACCCGGCGCACGAATTGTGGGCGGTGCCTTGTCAGTTTTCAGCATTCAGCACATTGTTGCCAAGTCTTCAACATCAACATGATATTTTGTTATAGGGTACAAGAGATATACAGACATGCTGGTTGCTCGAAAAAGTCAAGAATGATCTATAATATCATGGCTTACTCTTATTATGTTTTATCTCGTATTTTTTTCCAACGACTGGACTCTAATTTTTATGATGAATTAATTATAATTGGTGACTTGACAACGTTGCTTCATGATTGGAAATGAAAGATTATTTTTGCAGTATTGCCTCGCGTCTTCATTGAGATAGTTGATGAATGGATGAATTACAAAAATATATTGCGTTCCATGAGTTACGAATGTTGGAGATATTATTCAGGTCTGTTTCAGATTCAATTAACATCCATGTTCCGCCTCTCATGAAAATCCGTATCAATTTTTATGGACTTCGATATTTGATGTCATGTTTATATACAGTTCTCAACACACCAAATGGACCACTCATAATTTCACTCTATTTCGAAGACCTGTATTTTTTTTTTAAAATTGACCGATCTTCATGCGGTTTTCGATATCAGATGTGATGTTTCATCGGCTTCGAAGAGAGCTAGAACACTCTGAAAAAGTCCGCAAACCAAAACTTACACAGGGTGTAAAGTGGAACCATTACACTATGGTCTACATTTCCAATGCTGCCAGAACTCGAGAAATTTTTTTCTGATCAAAAGTCAGTCATATTATGATACACTGGGACCTCATCTCGGGACGTTTTCGTGATTTCTCCTTAATTGGCCATTGGAACAAAAATTCGATTTTTTTTCGAAATTCTTGCATTTCTTGACTTTTTTCTCTAGAACTCTACTTGAGCTGACTATCGGGAAGAACTATTCTCATGTTTTATGAAGGATAATGAAAGACGAAAAAAGCACTTTTTCAGAATATACAGGATGATAAGAAAATAGGACAAAATCTCATTTCAGTGAAAAAAAATCAAAAATGGTGACTAAAACTATGGCCCATTCGATCCAGTATATTCAGAAACGGCCTTCTCGATATCCATTATTTATATTAGACTATTAACTCGAGATGTTTTCGAAAATTCGCCTCTAAATGAAATACAGGATGAAATTTTTCAATTCAAACTTGTTTCCTGATATCGATGATTTTCAATATTTATTGCCCAAGTATGAGAAACGGAGAATTGTTGTTCAATATACTGAGTGTTTTACAACTTATCTGACAAATTTCAACCACAACCACGATATTATATAAGAAGTCTATCACAAAAATATTTTATAGAAGAGAAACGAGATGGAAAATGAAATTTGTAACACTTTAAAACAACTAAAACTATTCGAAAAGGATGATAAGAAAATAGGACAATACAGGATGAACATTTTCAAATCAAACTTGTTTCCTGATATCGATGATTCTTATCTTTTTACAAACGGATTTCCAATATTAATTGCCCTAGTATGAGACACAGAGCATTGTTGTTCAATATACTGAGTGTTCCACAACTTATCTGACAAATTACGAACTCTAGAAAACAATAATGTTAGAAGAATGTGGTGACCAGCATTATCTCCAGATCTGAATTTGATTGAACATGTGTGGAGCCTAATGAAACTCAACCTATCGAGAAGGCGGGGCACCCCAAAATAATGACAACCTTATCCAGAATGGGCGGCAATATCAATAGACTTCATCAACAACCTCATAGAATCTATGCCAAACCGATTTCATGAGGTTTTGTTGAATCGGGGAGGCCTACCAAGTACTGAAATTTAGGATATAGGACTTTCTTGTTGGATCTTCATAATGCTAAAGAATTCACTAATGTCATATTTCGCCAATAGATCCCTTTTCGAATAGTTTAAGTGGATATAAAGTGGATATAAATTTGTCAGATGAGTTGTAGAACACTCAGTACATTGAACAACAATACTCTGTGTCTCATACTTGGGCAATAAATATTGGAAATCATCAATATCAGGAAACAAGTTTGAATTGAAAATTTTCATCCTGTGTTTCAATTAGAGGCGAATTTTCGAAAATATCTCGAGTCAATAGTCTAATATAAATAATGGATATCGAGAAGGCCGTTTCTGAATATACTGGATCGAATGGGCCATAGTTTTAGTCACCATTTTTGAGTTTTTTTACTGAAATGAGTTTTTGTCCTATTTCCTTATCATCCTGTATATTCTAAAAAAGTGCTTTTTTCGTCTTTCATTATCCTCCATAAAACATGAGAATAGTTCTTCCCAATAGTCAGCTCAAGTAGAGTTCTAGAGAAAAAAGTCAAGAAATGCAAGACTTTCGAAAAAAAATCGAATTTTTGTTCCAATGGCCAATTAAGGAGAAATCACGAAAACGTCCCGAGATGAGGTCCCAGTGTATCATAATATGACTGACTTTTGATCAGAAAAAAATTTCTCGAGTTCTGGCAGCATTGGAAATGTAGACCATAGTGTAATGGTTCCACTTTACACCCTGTGTAAGTTTTGGTTTGCGGACTTTTTCAGAGTGTTCTAGCTCTCTTCGAAGCCGATGAAACATCACATCTGATATCGAAAACCGCATGAAGATCGGACAATTTTTTAAAAAAATACAGGTCTTCGAATTAGAGTGAAATTATGAGTGGTCCATTTGGTGTGTTGAGAACTGTATTTGCAGATCTGAGAAGCAAAGTGTTGATACTCTTATCACTGATTCGGAGAAAACCATTCAGTCACGACGAATCGAACAAAGAATCCACAAAGAATAATGGCGTTTATAAACCCTCTCTGCAAAGGAGGTAGATGCATATAGTGGGTTAGGTATATACAGTGTTCTTCATTGCAGAGAAAATTGTTGTTTATCTGCCTTTCTCGTCTTCATTGAGATAGTTGATGAATTGATGAATTACAAAAATATATCGCGTTCCAGTTATGAATGTTGAAAACAATATCCAGACTTCTCATAGATTCATATTCTATGTAGATCTGAGCAGCACATTGTTTGGCCTTCAAGGTCCTTAAAATATAACCCACGTAATTGAACATGTGGAAAACCACTATACGGGAAGAAAGCGGATATATATAGCAATCTAGTTACGGACGTTGAAAATATTATTCAGGTATGTCTCAGATTCAACATCTATGTATTTCCTTCAATGATATTTTCCGATTCAAATGTACTTCGATTCGAATGTGATGTTTAGTTGCAGATCCAAGAAGCAGTGTTTGATACTTGCCACTCAATCGGAGAAAACCATCCAGTAAATAACGGACCGAACAGAAGATCCGCAAAGAGAACTGACCAGAGTATACTTTACAGAATCTAGATCATTATATTCGTACGGAAGGCGATATATTGATTACCTTTCCAGATTCTCAAGCAGACAGATAGACAGATATTCAGCTTTATGTCTCTATGGAAACACGACAGGTACCCTTACGAGGGGAGAGTATCAACTCGGCGTTTATAAACCCTCTCTGCAAAGGAGGTAGACGCATGGTGGGTTAGGTATATACAGTGTTCTTCATTGCAGAGAAAATTGTTGTTTATCTGCCTGTCTCGTCTTCATTGAGATAGTTGATGAATTACAAAAATATATCGCATTCCAGTTACAAATGTTGAAAACAATATCCAATATTCTATGTAGGTCTCACGATTCAAATTTGAAATTGATCCTTAGTTTTAGATCCGAGCAGCACATCGTTTGGTCTTCAAGATCCTTAATATAACCCACGTACGTAATTGAAAATGTGGAAGATGCCTACTGGATGAAAACACTATTTGGAAAGAAAGCGGATATGTATAGCAATCCAGTTACGGACGTTGAATATATTATTCAGGTATGTCTCAGATTCAACATCCATGTAATTCATCTAATGATATTTATTTTCTGATATGAATGTACTTCGATTGATATGTGATGTTCTGTTGCAGATCAGAGAAGCAGTATTTGATACTTGCCACTCAATCGGAGAAAACCAACCAGTCCATACGAACCGAAAAGAATATTCACAAAGTGAACTGACAGGAGTATACTTATGGTGACTATAGTTATGTTATATACTTGGTATATTATGATTTGATGGTCTGACATTGATGTGACATTTTTATAATATAATTACAACTCACAGTCGTATAATTTGTATCAATTGTATCCACAATTTGGTGACCCCGACGTGATATTATGGAGCAGTTGAGCGAAGGCGAGATCATACAAATTTTAAGATATTTCAACATCCATGTTAGTGATTCGATGGAATTTTCGGATATGAAGGAAATGCTGACAAAGTACGTTAAAGAAACTTATAAGGACCAATTCCACGAAGCCAACTACAGGAGCATTCTTTCAGAGATTTCTATTTTTACGAAGATCGATAGACTTGAAGAATTATGCGAATTTCTGATCGTCAAATTCGATGAAAATAATAATAAATATGATTCGTTGGAAGCAAGACTCGATATTTTGGACAAACATCGTGAGAGTGCAACATTTCCAAACATAGCAAATGTTTATTGACTTTTTTCAACAACCTTGATTGTAGCAGCTGCTGGTGAAGGATCGAATTTTGCATAAAATCGATCACTTTTTATTTCAGCAATTCCTTTGTGGTAGTCTATTTTATTATAAATAGGTAAAAAGTGAATTCTTAAGTGATTTCTCTTCTCTTGTTCTCATTATTTTTGATGTGTGTGTTAGTTATTATCTGCTCAGTTCAAATTGTAATAAGTACCTCTCTTTTGGCTCTTTTCTTGATTACCTAGTGTTTCATATCTGATTGACAAACTTCAAATTATCTAGCTTATACAAAGCATAATTCTAGATAATGTCAACTGATTCCGACTACTGCTCAGGCATTGTCGATCTAAATAAAAACCTAGTAGGCGACCTAGTGCGAGGAGGTATAATAAGCTCCTGCCTACTAACTACCTTGTCATCTAGAACGACAATAATGGCTCAGACGATGAGCTTGATGCTGAGCTTTTCGAATGGCAGAAATATGTCATTATGCTGAGGTATTGATAGCTATTTATGATTTCTGAGAATTGCTTCTGTCTAGATTATGAATTTGATGAAATTTTTAGTGATAATCAAAATGCTGCGGAGTAGGGTGAAGTTGAGCCACCTATCATTGAAATGTTATTAGTTCTGAAATTTGATTCTGTCAGGTTTTTCGTATTTAATCAAATTTCAGTATTGATGATGAGAATATATACAGGGTGATTCAAAGTTTAGCGGCATCCTTTCAGGGGCGTATTCCTTGCATGAAAATAAGGCAAGAAGTTCCTATTACTAAGGGTCCGAAAATGCTTCCTAAGGGAGCTACGCCCCTCTGAATAGGACACCTCGTTTTTTTTTATGTTCTGGTTCCCCACGAACAGGGATATCCTTCAATGTTCAGAGAACATCGTGAGAACCAAGGGAAATAAGGTAGGAATTAGTGGTCTTAAATTTCTGGAGGTTATAAGCCTCGGGGAACACCTCCTTTGGCAATGTGTTCCAGAGCCTTGCTGTTCGTTTGAAAATTATAAAATTCTAGAGTTTTTCACGTAAAAAAGACACTCCTACTCCAGCATCAAATGTTTATGGTGTACACCAATTTTCGAAAAATTTTTGGTAAAGATTTTAAAGTTATAGGCAAAAAATCGTCTTTTAGGTGTCCTATTCAAAGGGGCGTAGCTCCCTTAGGAAGCATTTTCAGACCCTTATTAATAGGAACTATTTGCATTATATTCATGCAAAAGGAATACGCCCCTGAAAGGATGCCGCTTACTTTTGAATCACCCTGTATGGAGGCCGATGATGACGAGCCGTATACACGTTTATACGTAAAATGATGTATCATTTCGAATAAATTTGCTTCATATTTTCAATATTTCCATTGTAACAGGAAGCGATAAGAGTTATCGTTAGCGAGCATATTATTATGTTCTGATCTTAAATGTATTTTAGTCTTCAAAAATTATCTTCGCGGAGCGGAGATCGAATTTTACATAGAATCGATCACTTTTCATGTAGTATTTCCTTTGTGGTAGTCTATTTTATTATAAATAGCTAAAAAGTGAATTCATCTTCACTTTGTCCTTAATATTTTTGATTGTGTCTGCTCAATTCAATTTGTAAGTACCTAAACTTCGAATTATCTAGCTTATACAAAGCATAATTCTAGAAAATGTCAACTGATTCCAGCTACTGCTCAGGCGATGAACTTGATATTGATAGCTATTTATGATTTCTGGGAATTGCTTCTGTCTAGATTTGACAACATTTTTAATGATAATCAAAATGCTGCGGAGGAGGGTGAAGTTGAGCCACCTATCATTGAAATGTGTTCTAAAAATCGATTCTGTTAGGTTTTTTCGAATTCAATGAAATTTCAGTATTGATGATGAGAATATGGAGGCTAATGCTGACGAGCCGTATACACGTGTAAGTATCACAGTAAATTTTATCAAAAAATTGACGCAATCATGTTATGACATTACTATATTTCGCCTATTGGTTGAATTCAAGGAATTAATTTTGAATTCACCAATCTCCTCCCACTAAGCAAATCTGAAAGCTTTGTTGATGCAAGGTTGTACCAATTACTGAAACAGACGTTCCGCAATATTGCGAATGTGAATTTGTGAATGTAACGTTCCAGCAATCTCACAGCAACATGTTATATTGCTGCAACGCTACATAATCAAACTTCACCTTCGCAATATTGCTGAACGTCCTTTTCAGTAATTGCTTCAACATTGCATCAACATATCTTTCAACTTTGCTTAGTGGGGCTCTTATTCTGACAAGTTATCAATCACCTTTCTATCAAATATGATATGATATGAATTTGAGTTCATTATTTTTGAAATCATACCATAAAAGAAGGAATTTACAGGGTAAAAAACGCAAGAATTCGTTGTATCCACACAATAACAATGAATGAACATAATAATTATCTGAAAATATATATTTATATTTGTTTTCTCAATCTTTGGACCTTAACAGGAACATTATTTATAGTTCTTATTACGTATTACTAATTAAAAACATGGCAAACATTCGAAAAACAACAACATTCAACAAATTCATAGCACAGCATAAAAAACGATGATGCAACAGTATCGAAATTCGGTAAATTCAATCTTTGACATCATCAATACCTCCGTTTGTAATCACATAAATAACCTCGCTCTCCTCCAGGTCCGGACTATCGTAAATCTTCGCCAGCCGCCTGTTCCCCTTCTCCTTCTTCAGCGCTAGCCTAGTCGTCGACGCATGCGCCAAAATATTCCCGCCTACAGGTTTCAGCAAGTCGCCGTCCACATTCAACAGGTTGAAATCGGCCGTGATCTGATTGGTAATGAAGACGGCGACGTTGTACTCCTCGCTGATCTTCTGCAGACGCGACATCATCTGGCCCAGCTTCTGCTGACGGTCGGCCATTTCTCCTCTACCAGAGAAGTCCACTCGGAAGAGGGCCATGATGGAATCGACGATCAGCAGCTTAAAGATGCCGGGTTCTTCGTGGAATTTGGCGGCAACACTGAAACACACCAGGTCCAAATACAGCATTTTTCTTAATTTCAAATGACCGCTATTTCATAGAAGAATATACATACAGTGTGTCCCACTTACCATGCTCACCATGGGTATCTTTTTAACGGTGAGAGATACGAGGTTGGTTAAATGACACCAAATGTAGAGTTTGTCAAGGCCAACTATAATGTGAAAAAATATTTTGATAAAATCTATTCGTTTTTGTTTTATACGCAAAAAACAGATTTTGATCATTTTCATGTCTCCTCCGTAACTTCTTTATTTATGAAAATATTCAAATAGGAATTTCACATTCTCATAGCAGTTTTTCGAAGTGATTTCGATAAAAATATGAAACTTATACCAACTCTTCTAGAATTTGAGATATCAGCACCAACTTTAGTTTTTCAAATGTACGTCATAGCTCACTATATGAATTAGTTACAAATAACTTTTTTTCTCTTACAGATGATATGTCACAGTTATAGTTTTGTGTTGATAACAACGGAGTTATCGTCATTTATACAAAAACAAGAAATTATTTGGAAGCCACCATCTTTTATTTATGAATTTTTACAAAAAAATCATGATCTCCGACCTCAAAAACCCCCACTTACCAATTTTGAATGGAATCGGACCAAATCTTGCCCGCCATCTTGGAGCAGCCATTTTTATTAATTTCAACAAAAATATTGTCACCGAAATTATGAACACCTGCCGAATTTCAAGTTAATCGGAGTTATGGAATTTTTGTTGAAATTAAAAAAAATGGCTGCTCCAAGATGGCGGGCAAGATTTGGTCCGATTCCATTCAAAATTGGTAAGTGGAGGTTTTTGAGGTCGGAGATCATGATTTTTTTGTTAAAATTTATAAATTCAAGATGGCGGCTTCCAAATAATTTTTTGTTTTTGTATAAATGACGATAACTCCGTTGTTATCACTGCGCCATATCATCTGTGAGAGAAAAAAAAATTATTTGTAACTAGGCCATAGTGAGCTATGACCTCCATTTGAAAAACTAAAGTTGGTGCTAAAAGTTGGCATAAATTTCATATTTTTTTTAAGTCACTCTGAAAAACTGCCATGAGAATGTGAAATTCCTATTTGAATATTTTCATAAATAAAGAAGTTACGGAGAAGACATGAAAATGATCAATATCTGTTTTTTGCGTATAAAACAAAAATGAATAAATTTTATCGAAATATTTTTTCACATTATAGTTGGCCTTGACAAACTCCACATTTGGTGTCATTCAACCGACCTCGTATCTCTCACCGTTAAAAAGATACCCATGGTGAGCATGGTGAGTGGGACACACTGTATATGGCTGCCCTGAGGGCTGGTGCTCAATAATGATACTTCCATCTTGTGTATTTTTTTTATTTAGTAGGGTACATATAATGTATGTGTTGACATGTCTTATTTGAATCATCGCTGTACACCTAGAAGATCAATAAATATCTATATCTATCTATCATCTGGGAATTTTTTCATGAAGGTTGAGGGTCAAATACCCCCTAATGAGAGGTGGGCTGTTCAATGGGTATTTTATTTGGAGGAAACAGGATTGGAAAACTACCCAGCATTATAAATACTTTTTTCTACAAACGTCAAAAAATGACAAGGTTCGCGCATTGATAACAAATTGCGAAGTGACACTTTTTTTCAGTTTCCTACGTTACCATGATACCTTGCACAAAACAATGCGCGAAGTAAAACAGTGCGCGAAGTACCTACTTCGCGCATTGTTATGTAAAATATATGAGATATTTATATTTCAACTTTAAGGTCCTCAATCGAGCAAACATTTACGAAATCATTCATTTCTGAATGTTCAACAATAACTTTGTCTTATCTCTTGGAGCGCACGAAAGGAAATTCCTATTATGTTCATGGACCATCGTGCGTACCTAGGGAGGATAGGGGGAGGCCTTTTAAGCCAGTTCGACACTATTTTTCATATCAAGCTAAGCATATTTTTACTTTAAAACTATATTTTTTGACGTTTGTAGAAAAAATGTTGTTTGCAACTCGAGCGCGAAATACTTTGGTCATCTCGACTATTTTTTTAACTCGGCTACGCCTCGTTTTAAAAAATCAGATCTCGATCACCAAAGTAGCATTTCGCGCTCTAGATACAAAAATAACTATTATTATCCACACAATAACCAATTCAGTTACAAAGTACAAAGTGCCTACCTATTTTGTGTATACCTAAGTAGGCACCTAAACGTTAGTTAGCATCAAGTTAGAAACATACTTGCTGTAGATTGACAATATAAATAGAATATGATATAGAATATACTATGTCCCATATAATTAGCTTGCCAAACTTCACTAGCGGCTGCTTGCCAATTTTCAAATCATAGGGGCTATACCAAAAATCAGCTACTTTCTTTCAAGCAACCAATTTCTAGAGGCGTGTGAAATAGAAAAACGATGATAAAAACCGACTCCAATTTTTTTTCATACCCACCACGATTTATTGCTATGTTATGCATAAATATGTTAGATCTAACAATATTTTTAAATCTGATCGATACCGAACAAGAGTGCGTTTTGCTATACGTACGAGATTTTTTTGAATGATTTTATTTACACTCCATTGAAAATAGAAAGTTCCGAGGAAAATTCGGTTCTTGTACCGAATCGCATCATTTTATCACATGGCGTTTCGGAAATATTCAGGAAATATCATCTTCAGGAGCTTTCTTAAAGAGGCCGTAGCTCCCTTAGGAGCTATTTTTCGACTCATGTTTATTGGAACTTTTCTTCCTATTTTTGGCCGAGGAAGCTGCTGGTCAATTTTGGCAGGCTAATTAAGGGACACCCGGCTGTATATAGGGTAGGTCGGTCCCTATAAAAATATCTAAATTGATCAAAAAAGGTTTAGGATGTTGAAATGATTTTTGCTATGAAAATTGTGCACTACACACTGTTTTATCACTAACCAAACCGATTTTTTACACCTCGACACGTGTTTCGCTAACTATGTTAGCATCTTCAGGAGAAGATCAAAACTAATTGACTTATGAATTAAAACTATAGTTTTATTCTTCTTCTGAATATGCTAACATAGTTAGTTAACATTTTATCATTTGATAGATATTTTAACAAAATCTGGTAATAATAAAAAACTTCCATCCAGAACTTTTTTGTACAGGCAATGTAATAATGAGATGATTAGAAGTGTGGACATCTATAGGAGGCTAGACTCCTTCACAAGGCGCAACCCACGCGCGCAATGCAAATGCCCGAATACGCCCGAACCGAATAGTACGTGTTTGTCATGTCGCGTCGCGAATTGCGGACAATCCAGCGCGAGTGCATTGTTTATGTTTATGTTAGGTTAATGGTTAGGGGCTCTATGAATTTCTGAAAAATTAGTGTTTCAAACGATTGCGATTTAGTGGAATACTTTTTGGTGAACCCATTCAGTGCTTTGTCTTATGAAGATAAATTGATTGTGAAAAACAAACGTCCGAAACCGGAATTAAAAAATCTGATTGTAACAGGTAACAAACAAAATCGTTCGTTCAATTCTGATAATTATAAAACATATATCTGGTTGACGGGATTTGGGGTAAGGAATAAGCTATTTTGTTGGTACTGCGTATTATTTTCAACCGATAAGTCATCATGTTGGGGGCTCGGTTGGGGGCGATTAGTATCAAGTTCAGGTTAACTGGTAAACAGAATGTCATTAAAGCTATTGATTTGCGTGAGTCGTAGAGAGTTGTTTTTCACAATAAATCTCATATCATTCAGCCTCCTCTGTCATGAAAGTCACGAGCCGCCACTGGACAGATTATTTCATACCTACCTGTTCAGCAGCTCAAACTGATGCTCAGAATTGTAGGCTCTGGCATACAAAATATTCTCGAGAACAGCGTTCTGGTCCAAATTATATCTTTCAGCAATGGGGCGTAATCGTTCTGGTCGGCTATATATAGGAGTCGTTTTAAGGATATATAGGAAAGGTAGGTGTATATTGGATATAGGCATGAATATGTGGTTTCATTTTGGGATTTCAAAAACACTTGAAGAATGCACCGTTGAATATTTCTCAAAATATTCAAGAGTAGGCTACAGAACTGTTATTGAATATTTCTCTTCCAACAATAACACTGTATTGCGATAACGATTCTTCACATCATTCAAATGTGTTTTTGTTACAAATACTGAGCAAATGCGCTGTTTAAAGTTGTTGAAAATTATGGCCTGATTTGAACACTAGAGTCTAGCCATAGCACCATAGCGAGGTAATATTGCGCCTCGCTCGCTGGGCGCGAGAAACTGAAAATTTCCGACAGAGTCTGAGAAGAAACATAATTGAAATAGCGAATCACTATCGGCCTAACCAATTAATGCCTCCATAGTATTTTTTCGATAAATTACTTCGAAAAAAAAAATTAAAAAAAGATTAGCTGGAGTAGGGACCGAACCCCGGTCTTTTCGTTCGGAGGAAGGAAAACTATACTCTTATGACCACCACGCTTCTGGCAGAACAAACTACAGAACGATTTTATACGCTCTTGACTTGCCACCGTGGCAATATTTCCCGTATAGTGGTGCTATGGCTAGGCTCTAATGATTTGAACAGACCGTGTTTTCCGCCATCTGATATGGATATTGAGGCCTTCGATTGTTAATTTTGCTACGCCAGCCTCGCTGAAACTCGGCCAAACTCGGCCAACACGTTGCCAAGTCGCGAATTATAGTTGAGATGATTGGATCAAAATTGTCCTGTCAGTATTATCATCCGCAATATCTCTAGTAGTATTTACTATACTCGAAAATTGTCGACGAGACCTCAGCAACAACCTACGATCTGTGCTGTCCTTTTGGTGTGATTTGAAAATGTTTTTGTCCCATCTGTTACCTGTATAAGTGATATAGGTATAAATGAGAAAAAAGCGGATATTATTTTTTCCACATATTAGATCAATAAATCACGATTTATGAAGGATTATAGCCACACAATTTTTCTTATTCCCAGTTTTACTTTGACATCTGGCCGTTGGGTTTCACCCACTGTGTTGATTTTTGATTTTGAGACATTATCACAATTCAGGAAATTTCGGAAAAACAATTGAAATTGAATTGAAAGCATTAGTGTGAAGATTAAGAATGAAAACTGAATTCACAGTACTTGACATAAATAAGGACATAAATCATAGAATAGCTCATGAAGAGATTGACTCTGCCGTTATATTCTGAATGAAGACTCAAATGACCATCAAATATTTCCAGAGCAAGTAGTGGTTTCTGATATTTTGAATGACTTAAATGAGAATATAAGTAACCAAACTCAAGAATGTCAACCTGACTCTGCAGATAATGTTATTTCAAATGGAGAAATAAAATTCCTTGCATATAATATAAGAAAAAAATTACAGATTTTGCAGCTCTTAATATTTGAATATAGATAGGTATAATCTATTCAGAGGAACATAAGAATACTATGGATTGGATGATGGAGAAAGTGGAAATGAGAATGAAAATCAAGTGAAATAAATATCAATATAGAAAAAGAGAGTTATCTTCTTGATGAGAAAATATATAGCATTAAGGAGGGGCGTGACCAAGGAGAGAATATTATGACTAGGACTAGAAGGTAGAGGAAATGGAAACAATGGAAGTTTCACAGATAATTTATTCTGACCAGCACCAATAAGCAATGACAGGAGACACAAGGAAAAACTACCATCAGTGGTTTCATTATTATTATATTGAAAATTTCTGACAGAAAAAAATGGAAACAGAGGAATGCAGAAAGAGAAACAAGAAAGACAAATGAAAGCCATTCAGAAAAATATTGTTAACCAGTGAAAAAACGAAAAATTGTATCAACAACTACAGAAGCCTCTGATGTATGTAATAGCCTTCCTAGTGTTTCCAAGGGAAAGCAAAAATGTCCAGTATGTGTTGATGATCTGGATAGTGATGTAATGATTACCTCAAGAATATCGGCTGTAAAAAATGTATTCCTTAATATCAGCTGTAAAAAATGTATTCCTTGGTATCACCTTATGTGTACTGAATTTATCAGAGAGTCCTATGAGAACATTATGACAAGAGATTTTATCTGTCTGTTTTGTACTCAGAATGAGTATTAATAATGGAAAAAGTTTTCAAGTAACCAAAGGAATCATTACATGTTTATCTTGAGTTTTCAATAAAATTTTATTGTTTTTTATTGTCATTGAACTCTTCAGTATCAGAGTTCACCAAGAGCTGATTGACTTTTGGGATAGGCCTGGTGGAATGTACATTTCTGGCAGTGGACTACTAGATTTTTGTAGTACATTTTAACATTTCTGATTTTTTTTTTGAAATTAACAGTATTTAATATACAAGTTCAATTTGTCTGGAAATATGATATTCAACACATATGATTCAAAACAATTTCTGAAATTTTATAAGTATTTCTTAGATTTATTTTATGCATTTACCCTTTTTCTATTCAAGCTAATTTCATGACTTTTTTCACATGTTCTGAGACCCCTCATCAAATCAATAGATTTTGAATTTTGGTCAATGAAATGCATTATAAATTTATTGATCCACCATGACAGAAGCTATTTTATTGGGATAAGCTAGGGAATAAGGCAAGGGATGAGCTGATGAGGTCAAAGGATACAAGGTATGTTCAGTATCAATGAACATAACTTTTCCTCCAAGGTAACCATTTGGACCAGGCATTTGGGCAGTGACACAAAGGGTATGGGAAAACTGTGTCTTTCCTGTTCGAAATTCTCCAAACACTTCAGTGATGGACATTGATTCAATTCCTCCTCCCATTAATTTACTGAAAATGAGAAAATTTTAAAAAGCACTGTATTGAAATCAATCTATGCATGATCTTGAAAGATGAATAAATTTTATTTCTTATTTTCCTTAGTTAGTAGGTAACCACATCAAGTTAACATCAGAGTTCAGGATTCTGATATGCAAGTTCTCTTTTGGGGAAGTTTTGTGTAATTTATTGGTGTCTTGTGTTTCTTGAAAATAGTAGAGGATTCCACTATATAGTTTGTTAAAGTTTGTTTCATAATAGACTTACTCTAACTTTGTGCTACCAGTTGGGAGTTTGAATATTTGTTTTCTCTGATCACATACTTCAAGGGCAGTCATAAATCCATGACCTGAGGCTATTTTACAGCATGCTTCTTTGATTTTATCTACCTTATCATCATTGAAACCTTTCATATCCAGGAACTTCTTTCTGACAGTCATTTGTATGCCTTTTATAGTGTTTATTCCCATTTTCTTCAATAACTTTATGTCATCTATGGAGATATTATACTCCAAAAGTAAGTCAATGTCCTGAAAACATGTTTCCTCCTCCTCCAGATCCAAATTTTCATAAGATTCGCCAGTTCCAGCATCACTATTATTAACTATTTCCATATTTTCGAGCACTACGATGGACATCGTGATCGCCCTATATGCAGAACAGTGAGCAAAATCAAAACAGATGTATTTAGGCTGATCAAAACGTGACTATTGCAAAAATAATTCCATCTAACCAGTTCGAAAAATTATTTTTTCAAAATTTTGTAACTGAAAATTTGAACCACCTTTGGAATTTTATCATTCTCATATCCATTCAATGACATTAGACATTATGGAATACTGTCTTGGTAGGCCACAGCCACAAAACACTGAAACCTTAGATCATTTATTGTACTTTCATGTTTCGGGACCAAGGTCTATTAACTTCTATAAGGTTGCCTCGTTGCCTCATAGTATAACATTATGGTGCGGGGGTGCGCGGAGGGGCGTGACGTCAGTGTTTCCCCACCACGTGATTGTAGATTTCGTTTGTGTCACTGTCAAATGAATTGAAAAAATTTTTGAATTTGAATTCGAAAGAATCGCGAATTTTAGACTTTAGTTGAAAACAGGGTGACAAGAAGACTGAAGATATCTTTGAAAGAGTGTGAGAGGTTGTATAATAATATGGTGTAGTATTATTCAAGGCTGGTCACATCATAAATATCATAATATTATTGTGTGGAGTCAAGAGTGGATATAGAACAAACAAATGTTATGAAATGCCTGTTTGGCAGCCTCCACATGAGATTCAGATAATTCCAAAGGAAAATGATGAGCTGTGGCAATGTGAATGTCCCTGTGAAGCAGGCATGTCACGGTTTTGTATACACATTTTATAGGGACTTATATTGACAGGTAGGAAGGTGCACTTTTGATCTATCACACACACAGGTAAAAAATACATGAAATTTCAGGAATGAAGACTTGGAATATGTGAAGCTGCATATTATATAACAAACAGAAGTGGTGAAAATTGAAAAAAGAGAGTAGATCAATCAATGATCTATTATACAGCCAAACCATTTCACTAGTTCTGCTACCTGCTTATTAAAAGAAGGAAAGTGACCCCTTAAAATCATTCTTCCTTTATATAATTGAAGTTAATTTTACAGGGTATATCAGTCTATTTTGTTTTTTGTTTGGAAGCCAATGAACTCAATGTAAACAACTAGCTATTGCATGGTACTCAGGAATACTGGTGAGTTTATTAAATTTTACTTATACTTGCTACTTCATTTTTACATGTAGCAAGGAGTCTTGGGAAAAAAGGCAATCAACTTCTTCTTTCCAAAGAATTTTTCAAATAAATTTGTTCAGCATGGAGTTGAATATGAATCCAAAGCTCTTTCAAAATGTTCATTGAAAATGATATTGAATTTCAAATCATGCAAACAAATTTGTGTCCCAATATTTTCCATGGTTAGGATTTTCTCAATATGAAATTATTTTTCAGGAAGGAAGACCATGGAAATAATTGAAATAAGTGTCCTTACTGAGGTCCTTACATAGAGGTTTGTTAAATAATGTGTATTACATTCAACTTGAATTATTTTCTCAAAATTTTAGGTAAAGGTTCAGAACATTTTGTGGAACAATGCCATTTCTTGATGGGAGATGGTATAAAAAATGTGAAGTTGGAAGAGAGACACACTTATTATGGATAAATTCAGTTGGGAATAATGGCCCTAAAATGTCCCTAATGAACTTGATAGAAACTAATTTTCTTGTATGATTCTTCTTCCTCCAAAACTTACATAAAGATTCCAGTTTTTTGTGATACATTTTGTGTTAATGTTATGAGGAAGATATCTCAAAGATATTTCCATTATGTTGCACTTTTATTGCATTAATAAAATGGAATGAATTGTGATGACTTCTTTATTAATTCATTTTCTTATTATTGCATTTTCAAACAATAATATGTTCCAAATTGATACTGAAATAAAACCAGTGAGTAACAATCATTCAATTTATCCAGAAGGAAATCCTCTTTAGTTAATTGTTTCTTGTTTCTCAGAAATGATGGCCTAATCAATTTCAAGATATTTCTTCACATCCCTTGTCAGCATGCCCTTATCCACCATGATTTCATCATTAGGTTCAGACTTCCCAATAACATTTTCTTTATTAAAAAATGCTTTATCAGTAGTTCAACCTCCATATCCTTATTAATGCCAACAGTAATCAGTCCTAATGGAGTGGTATTGCAATAAGAATTTGACTGAGTTCCTGTAATGTGTCTGTACAACAGGAGCACTGAGGAACATATCTTTCTAGATTTCTGTCTTCAGTCTTTTGTACTTGCTGCATGTTTTGGGAAAACAGTGAACAATCTCTTGGACACAAAAACATATTGGAAAACTTCAAAATTTATCAATATTCACTTGATTGCACAATGCTAAATTTGTTTGTTTTGTTTTTCACCTCCGCCATTTTCATTTTGCCGTTCGACGTCTAAGAGATTGCACTTGGAGTATTTATGAATGAAATAGTGAAACTTAGATGATGACCTTGAAATAACCCAAATGAATGAACTGGCACGATGGGTTACGCTCCGCTCATTGGTTGGAAGCAGGTTGAAGTATTGATTTTTTGAAACTGACATACGTATTGAGGGCGCGCTTACAACTTACAAGTAAGCGATCCGCGTTCAACGTATCAAATCCTCATTGGTGGATAGATTGACAGCCGTCGCGTAAATGTATGTTCACCCAATCACAACACGATTCTACAAAATTAGGTGGACATTGTGAATCTACCTTGGAATAGTTTATTTACAAGTGTCAATGGAATAATAGAAATTAATAATAATTTATTTTGACTTGCCAATGAATCAGAAACTTAAGCAGGACATGAGGATATTTTGTTTTTGTGAACGATAAATCATCATTTACCTATGTGCAATGTGGAATTTCTCTTTGTAATTTTAGGTTAGGAACAAATCTCAGGATATCTTCTAAATGAACATCTTCAATTCATCTTATTTTTCCATAAGCTGATGAATCATTCTGCTCAGTCTTACTGAAGGAAATAAAATGAATCATTTAAGAAATTCCTTGAAATTATTTCCTTCAGTATTCAAGGTAGGTTTGCACATATGAAATAAAAATAACCATCATTTCGAATGAAGATTTTAATCAAATCAATAACAAAATAAATCAGTAAAATGTAGGAAATAGTTTTCAATGTACCACATTTATTTTCTTGATTAATTTGATTTTTCTTGGTGTGATAGCTGAAAGTTGCTTTTCTGTCTGCACTTGAGAATCAGACTTCTGCACAAGTGTCTGTGTTCCTGTGTCCACCATATCTGGTTCTGTTTGGGTACCAATAATGCTTCTTGCTCTTGTGTCCATCCCATCTTCAGAGCTATCATCTATTTCCATAAAATGACCTACTTCTATATTTTCATCACTAAAATATGAATGCTCCTCATGTATGGAGCCTGATAAAAATACCTATAAGATCAAGTGTAAGTATGTAAAATACAATAAAATCAGGACCATTTTACCACCAAGTTTAGTATAGGAACAGCATTTTCTTTCAGTTTGTGCTTTTCTATCAAATGATCCTCAAAATGTAGACTGCAAATTCTCATGCTTCCATACAATTTCATAGGATCAGTAGCCCTGATCAATTCATCATTGCACGCCAGTTGCCATGAATTCATTCTCACTTCTTGGGTCCTAGGATTAGGGAACCTAAAAAATCTCAATGGTGTATGTTGATTATTATCTAAGTACTTACTCTTGCAGTCTTTGACTGCACATTTTAGTCCTCCAGGTCTCCCCATTGCCAAGTTTATCTACAAAAATATATCATTTCTACCTCAGCAACCCTAGACACTAGAAAAAATCAAATATACCTACACTTATACCACAATATTTTGAGGTTATGTAAAATGATAACAAGAAACGAAAAATGATGATGATTCCACTGAAACTTAGCAGAAAAACACGAGTCTATATAAATAATAATCGCTTTTGTGCAGATTAAATCCACTTTTGTCACTGTTGAAAAATTTGCCAAATCTCTGAGAAGAAATTAGTTGACAAACAGTAAACATACAGCTGACATCTGATCGTAGTAAAAATTCAAGGTCATTTGTCAGTTTTCCCGCGCATTTGAAGTGGAGCTTCTTGGTGACTAACCTATATTCTTTGAAAAGACGATGGGGAAACAGTGACGTCAGGGCAGGTCAATATGAGGCAACCTTATAGAGTTGAATAGCCTTGTTTCGGGACAACAGTTTCAAACAGTTGACAATGACAAATATTCAATATGTCAATTTGTCAAATGTCATCCTTGTGTTTGTGTATGAAATTATTAGCGGGAGTAGAGGTTATTATAAATATAAATTGAATAAAAAATACAGAATTCAGAATTATCATTCACGATGGATAGTGCAACGGAAGAATTATATTTCCAGAAGCTTCAAGAACTGGTGTATGATAATGACAAAATTGTAAATGGTTAATATTATATGTAAACACAATAAAATTTTCTACTCTTTCAAGGTTACCATTCCATCCTTGGCCAGAACTTTGGATATTTCAGTACAAGAATCTCAACACTTAATAAAGCAATTTACCGAAGATCAAAACAAATTGAAACCTGATCAACTCACAGTCACATATGTTTTAACTGGTCTTTTAAAACATGGGAATGGCCGGGCAGTGCTCATGCTTACACAACCGACCCTTACAGAGAAGAGAAGTACTTTTGAACAAGTACTCAGTGAAGTTATATTCAGCATACAGAAATGCAAAAGTCTGGACTTCAATATCATAGCTCTTGTTGATGGGCTGGATTCTACAACAATTTGTGATAAACCACTGTGAGGCACGAAATGCTAGCTTGTCTTAGAGAATTTGAAATCATAGTTGTTTTCAGGTCAGGTTCAATTGTTGGAGAAAATTGTGTGAAAGGTGAGCTGAGAACCAAGAAGTTGCCATCACCACGTGGCCCCACTATCAAAGGCAAATCTTCATTTTTCCTGCCAAAGACAGAAACTACAGGATCAACAGTGAAGCCAAGTCAGTCAACTGATTCTTCATCAAAGGTAAGTAGGTGAATGACAACTCACAAATCATTTGAATATTGGAATAACTTTGTGTAAACATTGAGTATGAGTATGTTCCTGTCTCTGAAATATAACTTCTCTGGTTTCATTATATTTTGATATTGGTATTTCAAAATAGTGTCCAATCCAAGAAAGTGCCAGTATAGTATTTCAGATTAGTCTGCATCTATTTTATTCAATATTAATCCACTTGATTATTATTGATATCTGAAATTACAATTATCACAAGTATAGAGTATTTTAAAATACACTATCCATTGATAACAATAAATTATTATTCTAGATAATGTAGAAGATTCAATTTTTCTTCTGATTTTATAATATTGTCCATGAATATTCTTAGCTGTATGCTGTCCTCATTTTTGAGACAGGCATCTTATTTGAGACCTATTACAACCCATTATTTCTGTAATGAACTGAAAATTTCACTCAATATATAGATCTATCATTGCTCTCATTGGTTGTCAATTTATTTTTGAGTGAATTATTTTTTTTCTGTGATACATTTTGATCATTTTTATACCAAATTTAGATTCCATGGGAATTGATAGAAGCAATGTGCTGAATAGCAAAATATCATGATTTGTCACCTTCAGTTTAGTAAAAAAAAAAAAATAATTTTATCAGTCAGCAGAAGGTTGGATTATACCATTTGAGTAATGACAATGATATACCCTGTATTTGCAGGCAAAACCTACTGGTGGCACAGCTAATATCTTCAGTAAAGCATCTACATCTAATCCAGTTACAAAGGAAAAAAGTAAAGGATCTGAAAATAAACCCATTGAAAAACCCAAAGGAGGATTGTCAGGGTTCCTGACAAAGAGTTCTTCCAGATCTATCAGTAGCAATGAGAATATCAAGTGTGAAAATGGATCAAACAAGGATGAAAATTCAGACCAAGAAAAAAAATCAACAGAGATTGAGAGTGCAGACAGTATAAAACTAGAAGATGATTTGTCAAGTTCTATGGATATTGATGTAGAAGAAATCAAAAAAGTTGTGGAGGTGAAGGAAGAAACTAAAACTTTTGAGAAAAGTCAACAAAAACGTACTAAAAAAGAAACAAAAAGCAAGCCAAATAAAAATAAGAGGCAAAGAGAGAAGAGTGAAGAGAAACCAACAAAGAGAAGGAAGAGGATAGTGGAAAGGAATGATTCAGAAAGTGATGGTAATATTTCCATGTTATACAGGTTATCTATTTTTTAAATAGTGTAGATCTCAGAAATATAGTCAGTCAAACAAGTCAGAAAAAATTAGTAATTCAAGTTCAGACTCTTACATCCCATAATTTGTTACTACAACAAAATCTAAATTAAACTTTGAAAAAAAAAAAAGATTCAAGCCTGTATATTCAATTTACATTGACATTCATAATTCAATAGATTTGAAAATTTTATGAAGTTTCAGTCTCATGTTTCAGATATGTTTGAAAATGATGCTGATGAGGATATTATAGATAAATCTGATGAAGAACCAGAAAGAATACCTTCACCTGTGGAAAAGAAACCTCTTGCACCTAAAAACAAAATTAGGAGAGCAGTTGACAAAACCTATGAGGATGAGGAAGGATTCATAGGTGAGCTCAAATAATTTGTAAAATTTTACTAGATTTTTGGAATACTTCTTTCCTTGTCTCTATAAATGAAAATATTAGTATCAGATGATTTGCTCCAAATATGTCCAAATATTCATATGTTTTTTTTTTATTTATTTATTCATTGAACAAATAACTTCCAGACAGAATAGGCTCTGGTATAAGGAAGTACATAATTATATACCTATAGGTAAACATAGCATCATTCAAAATATATCAACAACTGTAAATTGGCAAACAAAGAATAATATTTGTAAACAAAAAAATGACATGATTAATTTTATCCAGTTTGCTCAGAAATAATCAGTTTTTTTACTTCATTTCTAAATGTACCTATATTTCTGCAATTTTTTATATTATCAGGTAGTATATTGAATTCAGTTATGGCTGAATGAGTGAATCTTTTTCATCCGATTATGGAGCTAGTGACGTCAAGATGAAACAAGTTATATATTGTCTAGTTTCATGATTATGAATTTCAGAATTCCGTATCAAAATAATATTCCACTTAAATTTTTTATTTATGATATATGATATTTTAAGAGTTTCAATTCTATATATTTCATCAAAAGAATATGTATTTGTTATTTCATACAATTGATTGGTTGGTGTATCAAATGGGAGATGATACAATACTTTTAACGATTTTCTATAAAATGTTGATAGTTTATTGAAATTATTTTTTGAACAAGATCCCCAAACATTTATTAAATAGTTGATACGACTCAGTATATGAGAGTAGAGAATCATGTTTGCAATTTTAGTATCAAGTTTGGGACATCTTCTCAATGCACCAATAATTGGAGATATTTTTTTTGTTAGAACATCAATATGTTTGTCCCACTTCAACCTGTCATCAAACCAAATACCAAGATATTTTATCAGTCAGTTTGTTTTAAGAGTTCATTTTTTATTTTAAGGTCCAGGTAAATTTTTGTTTATTTATTTGGTGAAAAATCATATATTCTGTTTTGTTAGTATTTATCAATAAAAGGTTAGATTGGAGCCATTTTTCAAATATTTTCAAGTCTCCATTTATCATATTTTCTAAATTTGAAGGATTCTTGCCTTCATATAAAAGTACTGTATCATCTGCATACATGGTATATTTACATGCTAGACCAATTTCACTGATATTTTGAACATACAGTAAATATAGTATAGGTCCTAAAACAGAGCCTTGTGGGACACCCTTATTGATTAATAGTTTATTTGACACAGTGTTGTTTGATTTTGTATTAGTTGTTCTATTTTCAAGATATGAATTCGAAATATTTCTCACAGTGCCTCTGAGTCCCATTGTTTCTAAGTTTTTTAAATGTGTTGTATGATCAACTGTGTCAAAAGCCTTTTTGAGATCAATGAAAACAGCTACCACATAATTTCCTGAATCAAGTCCTCTCTGGATTGATTCTATCACATGTAGTACTGCTGCTTGTGTTCCACTGTTTTCTTGAAAATCAAATTGAATAGAATCGAATTTTTTCAAAAATTTTAGAAAATATGCTTATTAAAGCTATAGGTCTATAGTTAGTTAGATCCTGAGCATTTCCATTTTTGTATATAGCTCTTACTGATGCATGTATCATTTCCTCTTCATTCCAAATTTTGTTTCTTTGTTTCAGTGACAAAGACAGAATATGTGTATGAAACAGCATCAGAAGATGAAAATGAAACTCCTGTGCAAAATGTGGGAGACAAACCAAAAGAAAAGAAAATTGAGAAGAAAAATAGTGCTTCATCAGAGAATGATGTGTCTCCAAAAAAAGGGACTAAATCCAAAAAGGGCAAGAAAAATGACCAGAATCAACCCACTCTCATGAACTTTTTCAAGAAAAAATAAGATTGGCTACATATTTATCATATTTTGTATCTTCATATTTATCAACCAATATCATGATATTGAAAATATTGCATTATTATAAGTTTATAAGAACATTTTTTGATTTATTATGCATATCACAGCACATTTTAAGGACATCTGTGGAACCTCTGCAAAATCGAAAATTCAAGAGAATTATTCTGATAAAACATCTCAATTCATTTTGGCATAAATAACTTATGACAAAAATGATTCATAATATAATAATATACCCATAACCATATCATAAGTATCAGAAACTCAGACTAATAATTATAAAAACCAATAATCCTAGTAAGAAATGTCATTGGTCATTTTTGTCCTCATAAATGGTTTTCCGGCTTTTCTGTGGTTTTTGTTGTTTCAGTGGCTCATTTAGTATTATAAATCAGACTGTTGTTTATATATGTTTCCTGTCAATTTGGTTGAAGAAAAGCTAGTTGAAAATATCCTACCCTAACATCTCACAGGTATTAGAAATCTGGTTCAATGGAGTTCTGGTTTGTGCTTTTTTAGGAAAAGTGTGTTTAAAATATTGAAAATATTAAATAGCCTACACACAGATGTATGTTATGTTATACAATACTGAGAGCTAATTTATTATTGCACTTGCACATATACATTATAATGTTGATATTGGCATCTGTTCCCTTAGAGGTGCCAAAAGATAGTACAGATGAAACTATAACTTTCATTATATACTTGCCTACATTTTCTGACTCATGGATGGTGGTGTCTGAGTGGTGTCTATCTAGTGTGATTTATTTGAGTTATATACCAATCCTCAATAATTCCTGGAGCAAGGGAGCTTCCATGAGTGAGATGAAATATCCAAGAGGGATAATTTTCCAGAATTGAATAAAATTTTCAGGAGTCCCTTTCTGGGTTTCCACTACATCAAATTGTTTGCCTGTAGTACACTTTTCATTTGTAGCCAATTTCTACAGGTTTTCTTCAGGAATCTAATTTAGATATGCACCACTGCTGCAAATTTACTTTCCACCCTTTATCCCCCCCTTGGAAAATCATGAGGTGACATAATAGGTTTGAGGTGCTTTGAGGGCTTGATTGTTCTTGAAAACTTTGAGGAGATGAAAGATATAATATGAAATAATGATAGATATTTGTTCCTATGATATATTTTGATATTTCTTTTTGTCATAGTTTCCATATACTCAAAGGTAAACTATATGCTTCCATCAGTACATCACACATTCAAGTAGCAATTCCTGCTAAATCAACTTCAATAAACATTATTATAATTTGATGTTTTCATATAATCTAGGTGCAATGGGCTTACCAAGCCCACATACTATTTCAACATTTGCATTTTCATTTTCATTGGCTATTTTATACTGTTTTGTCATACTTTGCTTATTGTAAACAATTTCAAGTCTGGGAACTTCTTGAAGAGGCTGTCCTTTGATCTTTGCCTCTTGTAATAAAAGCTCTCTCATAATGGGTGGGAAATCAGTTGTCCTGGGTAGTATTTGAGGATTATCCACTGCAACTTTTTTGCAATAATTTAGCTCTTCATCTTTGGGAATCAACTTATAATCAGTTTTGTAACTGACTGATTCAATAACAATAGGTTTAGGTTGAGTTTTTCCTCTGAAGGTCTTCTCTACCCATACTCTAACTTTTCGAAGATCCTTCAAGATGAATATAGGAATATTATTTCACAGAATTAAGATTTCTATCATACTCACATCAATGGATGGTTTCTCTGGATTTGGTAGGGTTTCTACCTTCAATATTTTTATGTAGGATGGCTCTGGATACCGCTCAAACATGTTGCGAGCTACTATCCGTCCAACCCCATAGTTTTTCAAATTGCCTAAAATTTCCCACAATGATTTTCCTCTGAAATCGTGAGTACGGCCAATGTATTTATAAGGCATTTTATTTAAATTCTGAAAAATAAAAAACAAGTGAATACTGAAGAAAGAAAATTGAAGTTTAGGTTAAAAGATCTTCTCTTCTCCTCTCTTCTCACTTATAAGTTCCTGTTCCAAAATCAATGAAGATCTCGTAGATACAGACCACAGAGCATTAAGTACAAGTTCCACCTATTCAGTGAATTGATATTATGTCCTATGCAAACAAGAGACCATTCAAAATAATAAGAAAAGAGGAAGTTTCGAAAATCTTTATACAGGGTGAGTCATATATATATTTTGCCTGTTCGTAACAAAAATACAGGGCATTATTTGAATTCCGGGCGAAACTTTGATGAACGATATTTCAGAAAATTCTCGATGTTATCGCCTGAAATTTTTACCAGCAACTTACGTCTATATACTGACACTATTCTATAAAATATGGCCTACAATGGAAAAAAATCCCAGCCGGACTATGGAATTTTTATCTTTTTTTAAATGTCATAATTTTCACTTTCTGGATCGTATATCTTTCAAAAACTCTCATCAGAATCAGGAAGATCAGGAAAAACACTACAAGTGTAGCTTTCCATTTTGTATGGCACACTTTCAACCAAATTGTTCAAAAAATATCGAACAAAATACCGATGAACGTTTCCATGATTTCGTACGGGCATATTGTAGTCACTTCGTTCAACAAATTCATTCAAATCCATTTCTTGCGTAAAGGTATGTATGATAAAAGTGTTGGAGAGAGAACCGGATTTGCTCTTCTGGAAGAGACCTTTATTTCAAATATGAATATAAATAATTTGCAATTGAAATCTCTGCTTCTACATGTGAAAATGTGGGAACTCAATATACAGGGTAACTCACGGTCGATGGTACGTTAGACGTTTATGGAGTCAATTCTGATATTCAGATCCTTTCATCTGAAGTTTTATCTTCAAAATGAGCCTAAGATTTCCAAAATCGGTTGGCTGCAAAACCAAAAAGTTGATTTTTTGGGATCACTCTGTAAATAAGAGAGATAGGAAGTTGATTCGCGAAATATCTCGAGGTAATGAGATCATCTTCATGCCTCTGTTGTCGAAGTTGGGAAAAAAATTTTTTTCACCATTTGAGAGCCTTTTGAATATTCCGAAATTTTGCACAGTGTCGGAAAACACCATGTAGAGATTTTATGCGAATACCCTTTTCTTTCAATGGAAAACGAGATTATTAGAAAAAAGTTATTCACATTATAACAGGGGCGACATTTTGGTGTGCGACGAAATTAGTGTTGAGTAGTTTAGTTTCGACAAAAAAAATTCCTATAGTTGAAAAATGTCGATTTTTCACACCGTAAACGTCTAACGTACCATGGACCGTGAGTTACCCTGTATGAAGAATTATTGCTTAGGTGAAAAATTTCAATCCGAATCAGATATACTTGCCAACTCATATAAGTACTACAAAGGGGAACTTTTGAAGAACTATTGAATATATATGATCAAATTGCATGAGAACTCTCTCAATCAGCGAATTAACTCGTGAGCTTGGAGTTTTTACGATTCAGAAAGCCCTGGAAAGGAAGGCTGTGATGAATGTAAGAAAATGGATTGAAAGAGCAATTTTCTTTCAACAGGATGAGGCACCTCCACATTACTATCAATACAAGGGAGAAAATACAGACACCTAATTCTCTAATCGCTGGATAGGCCGTGGCGGTCCTTATTCTATTATTCTAATTGGCCTCCTAGGTCTCCTAATCTCACAGTATTATATAAAAGACTATAATCTATGGAGACATATGGAACTATATCCGCATATCAGACTGAAGTCAGCACCAGAAAAAAACTGAAGGAGATGATAGTTACAGATTCAGATATATGATCAGAAATAATAGGTAAATTAATCAAAAAATCATGAGATATCTCGGAGAGATGCAGAAAATTTAAAGACATTGGAGGAAGACATTTTGAGAATCTTTGTTGAAGAATATTAAGATACAGACGAATCTCTTTCGAAAATTATAATTGTTTTGTACTTTTTTCAGAAAATCAAGTCTTGTCCTGAATTCTCTTCATTCTCAACTCTACTGCTATAGCAATATTTTTTATGTTCTTTATACTTTAGGTCAAATGTATAGAGAGTATAAGGCTGTGAATCATGAATAAATATTGACGCATACTGTGTTGGTATTAACAAATTAACAACTTTCTCGGTCAATCATTTTTTTGCGAAATCAATCATTTTATGATATACAGGGTGTTTCTTACGTACGTGCGTATTATTCAAATTCAGGAGCATGTTATTTGCTGACGTTTAAATAACAAGAAAAGTTTGCATAAACATATATCCGCAAGTTATTCATTCTGAGATACAGAGTGTCGAATTTTGATTATTATTTCGTTTTTTTGTGAATGATTTCCAGAATAATAGTGTTATTCGGGTGAGATACTTAATATCACTCTAATGTCACGTTTATTTCTGAAGTTACTCACAAAAAACAGGAAAAAATAATCAAACTTTGACACTTTGTATCTCAGAAATGAATAACTTGAGGACATATGTTTATACTAACTTTTCTTCTCATTTTGATATCAGCAACATGCTCCTGTAATTTTTACGCGTACTTAAGAAACACCCAGTAGAAATATTGTCGAAAACAAGAATCCGAAGGAAGGTTTTGTCCCATCGAAGTTCGAAGCCTATTTTTTATAATATTCATCTTAGCGTTTTCCAGTGCAAATTCGATGTTATCAAAACCAGATGCATTCTCAGTGCAATTTCAATGCTCGGAAATGTAATTCTTGAACTTTCATCTTCGAGGATGTCGTATTGAATCTCAGTAGATTGTTTTTTTCCATAGTCCTCTTTAATGAAAACGCGGAAAATAACTCCCACCCTCTGAGGCTACGGACAAGTATATCCCACTCAGCCATTGGGATACTCTATCAAAATGGGTAGTAAATGGCAACAACTGCTTATCAGGGCCATTTTGACAAATTAATATTTTCAGATTGAAGTGAACAAATATAATCCAATCATTTTCAATATTTAGAATAATATTTTTTTTTATCGCTTGGAGCGCACGAAAGGGAATCCCTATAATGTTCAAAGAACATCGTGCGTTCCTAGGGAGGATAAGGACAGGAGGTAGGTATTGCAATTTTTTTTGAACTTTTGGAGATTATTTTTTGTTGGGAATACTTCCACAGGCAATGAATTCCAGAGCCTAGCCGTTCTATGGATGAAGGAGTCTTGATAAAGTGCTGTTCGACATCTTTCGAGGTTGACAACGAAAGGATCGATGTGCTGACTGGGCTTGTCTAGTTCGTCTGATTGGTATTGCTAGTGAAGGGATGATAGCAGAGATTTCCGAAGAACATTTCCCGTGGAAGTATCGATAGAAAAGTGAAAGGTCGCCGACCTTTCTACGGTGTTCCAATGATGTCAAAGAGTGAGTGAGTGTGGCGTCACCCACCAGGCGAATGGCTCTTCTCTGGATGGAATCTAAGAGCATCAGCGTATGTTTTGGTGCTGAACCCCATATGTGGGAACAGTATTCTAGAACAGGCCGTATCTGCGATTTGTAGATCATGAGAAGCTGTTGAGGTGTAAAGTAGCTTTTCGCACGGAACAAGAATCCGAGTTTTTGTGAAGCAGCTTTTGCGATGGATCTGACATGATTATCCCATGAAAGAGTGTTGCTGATGGAAATACCGAGCATAGATATGGTGGGCTTGGTGGGGATGGTGGTGCCAGACATTACAATATCGGGCATACTGAGTTCCGAGTATAATCATGTTTCTACAAAGTACTTAGGGTAAAACAACGAACTTAACTGTTCCATAAAAATTATTGAAGGAAAAGTTGTTCACTAGTGTTTACCTGTCTAAAATCGAAATATTTTTTTCTCTATTGGAGGGGCCCCTTTTTTGTGGAAGCCCTGGGGCTGTAGCCCCGGATGCCCTCCCCTAAATCCGGCACTGAGAGGTATCCAATGATAAACGTCGTCCAGTGATAGTATTATTTTTGGTGACTTTTTAAGGATCATTAATTCTGAAATTTTTGGAATCGGAAGGTTAAACTCAATTTAGAGAATCCAATAACAAATCTGCAATTCCGAAGTCGGTAGTGCATTAAGTTTTACTGGCCTAGATGTTTACATACAATAGGAAGAGAGTTTTTACCAGTGGCTTACCAAATTATATTGTAACGGGGAATTCAAGAGACACTTTTGGGTAAACTGAAAAGTTTTCTTGTTCATATCTTCGTGGTTGTTTGTATACTTTCTAACACGATCAGGGGCGTATCCAGACGATATTTGAGTGGGAGGGGGGGGCATAGAAAGTCACGGCTCAATAAGGTTAGCGCGGAAGAGAAATAATATGGTGACCTTCTGAGACAAATGCTTTTTCATTAAAAAAATTGATTATAGTAAACATGAAATCTTTAGTTTCCTTCCAAGTATCGAAATTACTGGTGTAAAAAAACAAGTTCAAACTTTTATTCCATCAATACATGTGAAATTCTGTAATAAATCATATTGGATAAAGAAAGTGAATAAAAAAATATTTCTCTTGAAGAACTTGGGTTCAAAAGTGAATAAAAATATTTCATTTAAAAGAACAGAACAAATTAAACAGACAGAAATAAAAATAAATAAAATAAAGAAAACAAATTACAGTTTTCTATTCTTCTGCCTAGCGTATCTTTGGATGATATCATCAACATTCAGACTGCTGCAGATGCCCCTATGAATATGCATCAATGCCAATCCATTTAACCTGTCTTGGACCATTCTGGATCTTATCCAATCTTTCAGCCAATCTTTCAGACAACATAATGGTTCCAGAAGAATGTTTATGTTAGGAAACAAATGTTTGTTATATTCCTTCAGGGCAGTTTTACCATTGTTTGGTATATTTCGCTAAGTATCCCTCATTTTCTTCCATATATACATTTCAGAAGAGATCTTCTTTTGAAGCATCAGAAGAGTGATACTAACAACATCGTTAACTTGTTTTTTGTCT